AGTAGTGGGAAACTGCCAGGGGTGGGAGGGTGGGATTCGGAAACTGCCAGGGAAGGGAAGGGCATACTTCATCAACAACCTGCATAATGAATATTTGTACACCTAACCCTGAATTGTACCCCACATCTTTAAAAAAATGCCTGAACTCTGTCCAGTTCTACCAATGAATCAATGTAGGTAATTAAGAAAATCCTTCCCCAGGCCTCAGCTGCACCATCTATAAAATGGAATGTTGGTCAGGTCAGTGATTTGGAACAATTTCTCTAGAATAATGCACTACTCACAAATGTACACTTTTACAAATAATTTCTGGGCACATGGCCATTCAAAGCCTTTATGTAGACCCTGTTAATTATTCATCGAATCCAGACAAGATAGAGAAAATGTATCACTATTTCAACCTGTTATGTATTTATCTGTTTTCCTTAGCCTGTGTCTTTTCTCTGTAGATCTCAGTGTTTCCACAGCTTATTTTTTTTATGGAACTGGACTCTTTTAAAAATATAATGAGGCTGGTGGCAGTTGTTTGTGCCTGTAACCCCAGCATTTTCGAAAGCTGAGGTAATAGGATTGCTTGAGTCCAGGAGTTTGCGGTCAGTCTAGGAAACATAACAAGACTTCATCTCTACAAAAAATAAAACAAAAATTCAACTAGGCATGGTGGTACATGCCTGTAGTCCCAGCTACTCGGGAGGCTGAGGCAAAAGGACTACTTGAGCCCAGGAGATCAAGGTTGCAGTGAGCCAACACTGTGCCAGTGCACTCCAGTCTGGGTGACAGAGACTCTGGTATGTGTGTGTGTGTAAAATGAAATGCATATAGAGTTTCAGATTTACTAAAAATGTTTCACAACAATGTAAATATACTTAACACTAATGAACTGTATCCTTAAAAATAACAAATATGGTAACTTTTGTTATATTTTACCACAATAGAAACATCTAAATATAATAAAATTGTATCCTATCTCCAAAAAATGTAAAAAGTCATATATTGCCAAAATATGCATATGGTGTCAGGAACTTATAGACTCCCTGAGATCCATTAATCAAAATTTCTGTTCAAGTGGTCTCTAAATGTTAACATGGAAGACCATGTTGACTTTTTTTTCTAAAGACAAGGTCGCTTGGTCTTCTAAGCTGGAGTGCAGTGGAATGATCATAGCTCACTATAACCTCCATCTCCTGGGTTCAAGCATTCTCCTGCCTGAGCCTTCTGAGTAGCTGAGACTACCCCCATTGGGTCTGGCTCGTGTTAACTTTTTACATGGAACCTTGCCAGAAATCTCTGTGAAACCTTAATATTTTCTATCGTTTTCCATTCCAGAGCTCTCCCTCACCAAGGCCCATCTTCTCATGACTGAGCTCTCCATTACCACCCAATCACCTAGTAGTCCTGTCCCATCTGGCCTCCGTACCCTTGGTCTTCCGGAATTCTTCCAGTAGGTAGCTGGCCTCCTCCTGAATCCGCTCCTCAATGCTCCGCTTTCCCATCCCGAAGTCCCGAAGGATGGTCAGGGAGAAGCGTCGGAGAATCCTCCATCGGTCTCCATTGGCCAGAGCTACACCTGCCAGGATCTTAGTGTCAGGCTTCTACCTCCCCTTCCCTTCCTGTGTTCAACTTTGTGCTAGGCATTGATGGGGACAGATTATGAAAGTTCTAGACTTTGTTGTCAAGAATACCCTCCTCCCAACCTTCTATGCTCAATGGTGAGACTAAAAGTTCCTCCCTGCAGGACCCTCAAAAACTGTCCAGACTGAGGTGAAGGAAAAGGGAATAGTTTAGGGATGATTGGGGAAGATTAAAGAGAGTGTCTTCAGGAAAGAGAACTGGAACTGGATAAATAAATGAATAACTGAATGAATGCATAGGAAAGTAGAGGGAGGTTTAGGTAGAATGACATATAGAGTACCCTGGGATGAGGATATGAACTCTATTTTCTATATACCACTTGGTTTCTCTACACATATGTGTACACAGAAGCTTACACTTGTACATCAATATAACTATACAAAAAGAGTTACCACGTAATAAGAAACATAGAAATCACCAAATGTGTGGATTGGTGAGAGTCTCATTCTAATGCACTAGAAATTTAGTGAAATTATTTTGATTGATTGACAAATGAAAGGAAAAGTTTATGACTGGAATGATGGATGAATGTATGGAATACTTAATAGATGGGTGAAGGGTTAGTGAATGAATGACTTCATAGATGGAAAATGGTTGGAAGGATGGATAGAAAGATGAATAGATGTATGAATGATGGAAAGGTTAATGAATGGATGGACAGAGTGATGGATAGATGGATAAACAAAGTTAATTGATGGATGTATGGATAATATAGTGAAAGAAGTTTGTATACAAAAAATAATGAATGGATTTTATGGATCAATGGACAGAAAGAAGAGCAGAAGTAATGGATGAATGGATGGAAAGATGAAAAGAATGGGCCGGGCTCGGTGGCTCAGCCTGTAATCCCAGCACTTTGGGAGGACGAGGTGAGTGGATTGCCTGAGCCTGTGGGTTCGAGATCCACCTGGGCAACTTGGCAAGACCTTGTCTCTACAGTAAACCAAAAATTAGCTGGGTGTGGTAGCACATGCCTGTAGTTCCGGCTACTTGGAAGGCTGAGGTGGAAGGATCGCCAGAGCCCAGTAGGTCAAGGTTGCAGTGGCCGGGAGCATGCCACTGCATTACAGTCTGGGCGACAGAGTGAGACTCCAACTAAAAAGAAAAAGAAAAAGAAAAGAAAAGAATGGGGTGAACTTGTTTGGGATTAAAGGATATGGGCAGTTAGAGATGAATGCGTGGGAGAAACAGGCCTATGTAAATGGAATAGGTAGAGACTTATGGGTTAGGTATGTGTATGTGTGTAGGAAAATGAGAAGTAAAGATGGCTATGAGGGCGTTGATGGGTACATAAAGAATTTCACTAATCCACTAAAAGTAATAACAGGAACAAAGTAGCAAATATTCAAAAGTCAGATGGTGTGAGTTTGAAAAAGAGTGATTTGAATACTCGCTGTGTTACATTACCTAAAGTTTCTTACCTTCAGCTTTTTCATTTACAAAATTAGTACAATACTAATAACTTTCTGAAAGAAGTCAATGCAGTAATTCATGTACTTATCAAAGAACCTGGAACATAGGGAGTGCGATATAATCATTTCTGTTTTATTGCGGTTGTTGCTACCTACCGTGACCTTGGAAGTTTCGCTCTACTGAAGCTAATTCTCCACGGCCACTGAACTCATCTGCTCGGTCTACCAGGGCTTCCTTCACTGCTTCATGTCCGCATAAAACAACTACCGGCCGGGGACCCATGTACACAGTGAACACAGAGCCATATTTTTCCCTGAGCTGGGAATGAAGGAAGACACAAGAGGAGAGGGTTGATTGGAGTACCAAGAATAGACTAAACAAAGATTTTAGAAGATGGTGGGAGGAGCAGACATGGGAATAATGAATAAAGGTAAATCTTTGGCTTGGAAGGGTAATTGGGGGAAAGGTACAGAAGTCTTGGCACCTTGGCCAAACCCAGCCCTTGCCACAGCCTTCGTGTCCTATCTGTAAAATAATGGATCTGGATTAGATGAATTAGATGAATTCCAAGATCCATGATTCTCTCTCTGAAATGTCAAATTTCTAGAAACAGACTTCATGATACCAAGTCTCCAAGTACTAAGACAACCTGAGTACAAGTGCCTTTGTGTTTAAAAACATAATGTACTGTAATTCCAAAGTCACGAGACTGTGAAAGTCTTATTTCAAGGCACTAGGAATTTGTGTGTCCATCATTTTAGGATTCTGGAATTTTAGAATTCTAAGGTTCACAAAGTCAGTGTTTCTAAGAGTCTGTTTTTCAGAAATCATAAGATTCTATGTGCATCTAGCTATAGGATTAGTTTTCTTCCAACCTTATGAGAGGGGGTATATGAGACTCACCTTCATGAAAGACTGGAAGGTGGCATCAGTGCGAACTTGTAGCAAGTTTCCCAGGAAAGGTATCGGAGTGGGACCTGGGGGCAGCTCTCTTCCCTTCTTGACTCGTTTCCAGGCAATGAGGATGAGCATGCAAGACAAGCAGAGTGCCAGAAAGATGGTGATTGCCCCTCCAAACTCCATACTGCATTGAGGGGTTGTGGTCTGGGCAACAGATCCTGCTTAAATAGGTCCTGGGGAATCAGCTTATACTGAAATCAGAACACCCTATGAAACAAGTTTTCCAGGTATGAATGCCATCAGGGAAGAGATTGCTTAACTCGGGGGGTGGTTATATAACTTATAATCTCCTACCTGAATAAAGGAAAACTGAATTCATCCAGGAAAATCCACCGGGTCCATTCTCCTTTCTTCTTATTTCCAGTCCCCTAATTCTTTTCTGTCAGTTCAACCCCTGGCTCAGCACTTCTTAGTGGGGTGTAAAGGCAGCTGAATATCTTTTTAGGCTATTGAATTTAGGATTCAGACAATCTGCACACAAGTTTCAGCTTCCTCTTTTCTTTGTTGGGCAAGTCACTTAACCTCTGAGCTGATTTTCCTATCTGTCAAATAAGGTAACCATATCGTTTTAGAAAGTTTCGATAGACAACAAAGAAGACCCTTTGTTCATCCTTTAATTAAGGATGACCCCGAACAGCTTTTTAAAATTTCAAAAATTTTAATTGACACCATAATCATGCACATTTATGGGTGTGGTACTTTGATACATATATGCAATGTTCAATAATCAAATTAGGGTAATTAACATATCAATCACCTCAGATATTTATTATTTCTTTGTGGTAAGAGCATTCAAAATCTTCTCTTCCAGCTATTTTGAAATAAAAATATATTATTGTTAACTACAGTCACCCTGCTGTGCCCTACACTAGCATTTTAATAAAGAAAGTAATATTGAGATTTCAAACAACAAGGCAAATACATCAATTGAAATGGTTTTATCAACAAGTTTTCATTTTCTACTCAAGATAGTGTTAAATAATAACAATCAAAGATTATTGAACGTCTTATTTCAAGGCACTAGGAATTTGTGTGTCCAACATTTTAGGATTCTGGAACTTCAGAATTCTAAGGTTAACATCAGTGTTTCTAAGAGTCTGGTTTTTAGAAATCATAAGCATCTATATGGTGTATCAGAACTTTGCTAGTGTGTGTGTGTCTCAGGTCTAAAATGTAGAAATTACCCCTGAGCCTCAAATTCTGGAGGGGGACATCACCTCTAGAGACAGGCCTAGTGATTGCTCTTCTTCATAAATAAATGGTTCTCAACACTTTTTGCATGAAATATTTTCAAATCTTCTTTACTGTCCTGAAACAAACTTCCTGCATATTATATCTTACTATATATATTATTAAACAAAATGTAATGCCCTTCTCATGTGTCTGGAGTCTTAGACTTGGAAATGGAATCCCTTAGGGTATTTGCAGGTTGGGGAAACAGGATTTGGCTGGCTAAGCTGAGGCATCCTGCATCCAGGAGAGGGGGTGGGAATTCTGGGAAAACTGAGTGACTCATACAGAACCATCTCTGGGTCTTGGATCCGCTGCTAGGATGTCTGCTGTCAGGACGTCTTTCCCGGCTCTAGCCTACCTCCTTTGACTCGCTTAGATTTCACTTCCCCCTCCCATTCTGATTCCCGAGCCTAATTCCACCCCCACATTTACACTCTTTCAGGACTTGTCTCTTAACTGTCCTATGGTGATGTGTGTGGTGGTGGTTGGTTGTGAGTCTGGTCTTTCTATTCACACAAGAAGGTAGAAAGAAAGTTATTAGAACAGTTTCCTCACCATCCTGCCTCCGGGTGGGAAGTCAGGAGTAGAGGTACGTGAACTAAAAGATGGAAGAAGGCTAAAGAGGAGAAATAAGTGGGGTGCAGTAGCTCATGCCTATCATCCCAGCACTTTGGGAGGCCAAAGCAGGAGGATGTTTTAAAGCCAGGAGGCTGAGACCAGCCTGGACAATGTAGTGAGACCCTTTTAAAAAAATTAGCAAGGAGTAGTGGTGCAGGAAGATCACTAGAGCCCAGGAGGTTAAGGCTGCAGTGAGCCATGATCATGCCACAGCCAGGGTGAAAGAGCATGACCTTGTCTCAAAAATAAAAAATAAAAAAGAAAGAAAATAAATTTTAAAAACTAAAGAGGAAAAACTTGAACTTGGGACAGAAAAACACAGAGAGAGGCAGATTAGGCCAGGCATCATGTGATGGAAATAGAAACTAAGATTGAGTGGAAATAGAGGTGCAGAGAAACAGAATCAGAATGAGATCAAAATAAAGATGAGAGATTGGGGGGAGAGATTCAATGAGTCAAAGACAAATACAAGGGAACATACAAGATACAAGGAAATTTAAAGAAACAGAGAGAAGGAAATAGAATCAGAAAGAATCAAAAGTTTCAGTGAGACAGAGATAGAGAATGAGAAAGTAACATATGGCCGAGAAAAGAAACAAGAGATACCCAAAGAGTGTGGAGATCTCTCTCTCTCTCTTTCTCTCCCCTTGTCTCTCCCCTCTCCTCTCTCCCTCTTCTCTCTCTCTCTCTCTCTCTCATTTTTAACAAAAACTCAGTGACTCAACAAGAGAGAAATCTAACTAGACAAAAAGTCAGAGACAGAGATGAACAAAGAGAAAGGCAAAGAAACAGAGAGATGCAGAGTCTGAGACAAACCCCAGGGCTCTGTGAGGTAGAGAGCAGGTAATTTGGGCTTCATAGGGTGTATGCATGAAGTGGAACCAGGGTCATTTTATATCTAGTCACATGCCCATTTTTCTGGGACTAAGAAATGCTGTGACGCTGCCAGGAACACCTTTATTTGTGGCCATCTATGTGCAAGGCATAGAGCCGTGTGTTTGATAAGCAGGGTATCTTCTAATCCAGGGGTCCCCAACCCCTGAGCAAGAAACCAGTACTGGTCCATGGCCTGTTAGGAACTGGGCTACACCGCAGGAGGTGAGTGGTGAGCAAGTGACGTTTCATCAGTATTTGCAGCTGCTACCCATCACTCACATTACTGCCTGAGATCTGCCTCCTGTCAGATCAGTGGCAGCATTAGATTCTCATAGGAGTGCAAACCCTATTGTGAACGGCGCAGGTGAGGGATCTAGGTTGTGCAACTCTTATGAGAATCTAATGCCTGATGATCTGAGGTGGAACTGAGATGGTGATGCTAGTGCTGGGAAGCAGCTGAAAACAGATGAACATGAGCGGTGAGGTTGGACTGCACATCACGGACCCCCACTCCTGTACATAGAAAAATTGTCTTCCATGAAACCAGTCCCCGATGCCAAAAAGGTTGGGGACCGCTGTCTAATCCAAAAAACAACCAGTTTACAAGGCACCAAATGTGGTCATAAATGACTCGAGTCACCTTAAAATAAATGTTCTCATAACCTGGGGCTGTGCATACATTTTAGGGGTTCTGAGAAACACCCCAAAATTGTGTGTACTATTGGGTAATACCTTTCCTACTAGGAAAAAATTGTTTAGATAGTTGGAGTTCTTGGAAATATAGCTCTCATGGCCATCTGGTTTGATACCTGAATAAACACATGACTCTCTTTGAAAAAAGATACCTGCATACACATGTGTATTGCAGCACTATTCACAATAGCAAAAATATGGAACCAATAGTGCTGCCCATAAAAAAAGTGAACTGGATTTTTAAAAATGTGTTGCATATACACAATGGAATATTACACAACCATAAAGAAGGACAAAATTATGGACTTCTCAGCAACTTGGATGAATTTAATGTCTATCATACTCAGTGATCTATCACAGAAATAAAGAACTGAGTATCACATGTTCTCACTCATAAGCAGACCCTGGACGTTTATCATACTACAAAAAAGGAGTTAGCAGTAGTGGGACATTGCCAGGGGAGGAAGGACCACTTAATATCACCAAGGGTACCTGATCCTAAACCAGATGAAATGAGGACCAATGGGAGGCCTGTATGTGGACCACTTATGTACCTAATCCTGACTTGCACCCCACATCTTTGAAATAAAGTATTTTTTTAAATGAAAAGAAAAAAGGTGCATTTCAGAGGCATCTAGATGTCCACCAATGTGTTTTCCCCCTTCTTCCATAGTGATAGAACTCTGTCCATCTACATGATGATCCAGAGGAAAGACTATATTTCCCATGCTCCCTTGTAGCCGGGTATGGTGTTATATCCATGTGGCCAAGTTTTTACCAATGAGATGTGAACAGAAATGGTATGTGAAACTTCCACATTATGCTCTTAAAGGGAGGGGGCAGATTTTCTTTCTGAATATTTCATCTTTCCTTCTGACAGGAAGGGAGATGTGGACATAGCAAGAGCAACACCCTGGGAAGGAGGAGGAACAATATGAAAGGAGCAGTATCTTTGACACTGTTGAACTACCTCAGCCCTTGGTTGCTTATACAGAGCTGTTAGGTGGAAGAAAATTAAATTTCCATCTTGTTTAAGTCCCTTTGAGCTGTTATGCTATGTCTTTGTTACAGCAGTTAAATTATATCTTGAAAAATTTGGTTTCATTAGATAAAAAATGCTTGAAAATCATTGAATCAGACACTTATTTGCCTACTTTTTTTGCTGTATGTATCACTCATATATTTATCTAATGTTTCTTTAAATTGATTCTCTTAAAAGAACTTACATTCATTTATATAATATGGAAGTTCGCTCTCTCTCCAATTAATAGAAATTAGCTATCTTCTATCATAACTAGAACATGTCTGCATATTAGTAATGTAATACTGCATAACAAAAAAAGCTCAAAACTTCATGGCTTAAGATAGCAATAATAATTTGTTATTTTCCACGACAATGTAATTTAATGCAAAAATCTCATGTACTCACTAGGAAGTCTTCCTGATACTTATACCTACTTCCAACTCACTGCATTTACACCACAGAAATCAGAAAATTCTACAAAAGAAAACTTTTCTCCCCAAGAACCAGCCAGTGAAAACTTATTAGCACACCACTGTGGGTGCATTTCCAAAGTGGAGATCTGGGCTTGGGGTAATGTCAGCAGCTGGTCCAAGAAAGCATGGGGATATTCTTCACGTGCTTGCTATATCAGGAGGAGTTCCATATAGGCTGGGACAACCCCTGAAATTTTCCAACTCCT